CTCTCTGGGGCACCTGGTGCTGGCCACTGTCGGCAGACAGGCTACTGGGCTAGATGGACCGTAGGTCTGACCCAGTACGGCCATTCTTATGTTCTTATATTCTTTATCCACATGTTCAGCAGCGCGTCCCCCAGTGGGATTGTAACTTGCTCCTGTCCAAACTCATTGGATCTCCATCTGAACCCCTGACGACATGTTCATTACTACACCTGTCCTACAAGGTATCCCTGCTGGTGGCCATCATGTCAGCCAGGTGTGTGTCCAAGCTGAGGGCTCTCACTTCGGACCCCCTGTCATGGCTCCTTCCCCACTCTGGCATGATAAATGCAGAAGTGGGGGCCAGCGAGTGTACCCCAAAGCCTTATCTACCAGGCTTCGGTATAAAACTTCCCCCAAAATCTTAAAAACCTAGATCTTGGGAACAAAACTTCCGCTGCCACCACCCAAATGTTGATAAAGAAATCGGGGGAAGATCATTTGGGAAATCTCACCCCTAAGATAAAAATCAAGGCACACAATTAACCACTGCCAGGTTAATAAAAAGAAAAGAAAGAACATTTATTATTACAACAATATTCCTGTTCCAAACATAATGACTAGATAGGGAGGTAACAAAATATACTCATGGAGAAAATTCCATGGGCCTAGAAATTAGTTATAAAGAAAAGCCAAAACATCTTTTAAGCAGTGCCAGATCTCAGATCCCATACCCAAACAATAAAACCTAACGAAACTACCTAAACTTTACCGTACTTACAGAAAATAAAGAATGGTGTCTTGGAGAGAGAGAGAGACATGCTTGTCCCTCTCTGTAGCTGCAGAGAACTCCCCAGAGAGACAAAAGGAGAAAGGAAAAAACCCAAATTCCTTTGTCCCAGGTTGAAAGTCCCACCTACATTCCTACTGGTCACTCCACCTGGCTAGGTGTAGTTAACCCCTTAATCCCCAGGTTGCTGGCTAACCCTCATAATCATGACACCCCCCCTTATACAGTTTTATTTAAGGACAAGGTCAGGTTACGCCCCCACCTGCCTAAGGCAGTGTCGAACTTCCATGTGTCTCAGGATATTTTCCTGCCAGTCTTTTACCTCAAGCCCCATGCATTGGGTAAAGAACAAGTATTACACACTTTGGATGTTAGTCGGGCTTTAGCCTTTTATTTAGAGAGAACAAAGCCCTTCTGCAAGTCGCCTCAGCTCTTTGTTTCCATTGCGGAGCGGCTGAAGGGTCAGCCAGTCTCCGTGCAAAGGATTTCCTCCTGGATCATGGCATGTATTAGGGAATGCTACGGGCTGTCAGGAGTCCCAGCCCCTTCCCTCACGGCCCACTGTACGAGAGCACAGGCCTCCGCTGCAGCTTTTGTGGCTCAGGTCCCGATCCTGGACATCTGCAGGGTCGCCACGTGGTGCTCTCTCCACACCTTCGGTAACCATTATGCACTGACATATTAGGCAAGGGAGGATGCTGCCCAGGGTAGGGCTGCCCTCCACTCAGTGGAAGGTTAGAACTCTGATCCCGCCTCCTGGAGTTTCTGCTTTGTAGTCACCTACGTGGAATGGACATGAGCAATCACTCGAAGAAGAACAAACGGTTACTTACCTCATAACTATTGTTCTTCGAGATTTGTTGCTCATGTCTGTTCTAAATCCTGCCCGCCTCTCCTTTCTCAGAATAGTCCGATAAGAAGGGATCACAGGGATGGAGGGACAGCAGGGGTATATATTGGCCGGTATACCAGCACCAGTCCAGGGGCCTCCTCTGCTGGCCTAAAAGTTACTGCTAAGGGGAAAATTTTCAATGACGCGTGCATGCTGTGCGCACACGCCTACATGGAATGGACATGAGCAACACATCTCAGGGTATGTCTACACTGCCACCCTAGTTCGAACTAGGGTGGCTAATGTAGTCATTCGAACTTGCAAATGAAGCCCGGGATTTACTTACATGTTCCCAGGCGCCACCATTTTTAAATGCCCCATAGTTCGAACTACCTGCCCACGGCTACACGCGGCACGGGCTAGGTAGTTTGAATTAAAGCTCCTAATTCAAACTACCGTTACTCCTCCTGCAATAAAGCACACAACTCACACATTTTGCAAAGATTTCTACCACAACTACACCCTACTCAGCTCAAGAAATAAACAGTTCTAGTTAATACAGTAGAACATAGAATGTCCATCCTTGTCTCAATTTCCTCACCAGTTTTGAGCATTCTTTGTGCTGAGGTTGGAATCTTCACATGGCTTTTCCTTTGGAACATGCAGTTTACTCTTAGTCCTAATGCATGTCTATCTGTCTGTCTTCCTCCTCCTCCCCAGTAGTGTTTGTGAGACACTTTCTTTTCTAAAGTCAGGTTCCCTTTGTCACATGATCCCCTGATCACCTCCTTCAGTGATCAAATTCTTCCAGAAATGGCCTGTTGCTTAGGTATCAGCTCACCTTCGTAGACTGAGTCATCTGGATGGTAGCCAACTCTTTGTCCAAGAGTGCTTCTGTGTGAATAGAGGTCCATCAAGATTTAATAACTCTCCTTTGGTAGCAGTGTCACTACCTTTTGTAATTTCAGTCAAACATGGAGGTGAAAAGACAAGAGAAAGCAGGCAAGCTCCTCATTCAAAATTGAATGGTAGCTAAAGAAATATATATTCATGACCTCAAACTGGAATTCATAAATTGTACATAATTCTCCAAATTGTCACAGAGTCCCATAGATGAGACTGAAAGCTTACATCACGAAATCATGGAAATTAGTGCCAGTCAGATAAGGGTAAATAATCTTGCTGTTTCCTTTGCGCCCTTAAAGGAATCATAATGTGCAGTGCTGCTTAAGGAGCAAAAGACAGCATACTGTGTGAGCAGAAAGGGAACAGAGCATGGAGGACATGTGGTGAGATCTGGACCGTCAAAACCCTCCCAAGTGCTAAATATTCCAGTGACTATGCAGCTTTAGTGGGTTATTCTTGCCATCATTTAGGTGGCAATACTGGGTGACGTGTTTGGAAGAGAGTGGCACCAAGGCTCTGACTCTTTCCAACCACCTGCACAAAAATGCTGTGCCCCCACTTGTCATTGCCATAAGTAGGGGTTCAGTGTATGGACTACCATATAAAGCTCAATGCAGAAAGCACCCAAATCTGGATTCCTAGCAGATCGACAGTTAATCTTAGAGACTGCTGACCATCAGCACACTGTTGATTATATTTCTGAGAGCCCAAAGAGATTTTGGTGCATATAGACTCTATTGATAGTTTGATTAAGTTTCTTAGATTATCAAGATCTGAATGTGAAGAAACCCTTCCTTTTTCAAACATTTACAACTGCTTCAGAGGAGTAGTCTGCAGTGTTACTCTGTAACTAAAAAAACCTTAAATGTATAAACTCAAAAATACAACAGTCGTCATGTAGCACCAAACAAAAATATCTAATTGTAAACTGAAGAAGTGGGTTCGGTAGTATATAGTTCCAACACTGACTTTTGTTGCTGTAGGTCATACAGCAGAAGTAATAAAATAAGTACAATTAAATGAGTCATGGTCCAATAATTGCTAAAAAGATTTACTTATTCTGAAGTCATAGAACATAATAGATTTGTGATTGCAAAGAAAGAACAGCAAAGCAGCATTTTTTTAAAAATTGGCATGATTTAATATGTATTCTTTAGTTATCTTAGATGAATGCATTGGCATTTAGAATAAACAACATGAAAAGCAAAATTATTCACTGTCTTAATTATATCTGTTCCTTAATTTTAAATGCTTTTCTGCAGAAAAAATTAACACTGTAAAAATGAGCTGTATTTTGGCAATTAGTGAAAGCTGCATGTAGGTCTCTGTTTTTAAAGTCTGTTAGGCAACCTTTACCCTATGAATGTGCTTTATATTTTCTCTTATTCTCCTTCCTTACTGATATTCAGCAGTAGACACTGTGTCAGTAAGACGATTACTAGAGATTAGGAAAGCAAAATCAGATATTCTGAACGATGATCTTTAATTTCTCTCAGAGGGAAAAATGACAGATAGTCTAAGGAACTTCATTTTAAAAATTAAAAGCTTTCCTTCTCTGCTCCTAAATCCCCCCGAGTCCTACCCACTTGGTGATTTAATACACATACAAATGCTTATTAAGGAAATCTGCCCAGTTTCAACTTTCCAGATGGACAATGTTTTAAAAAAAAGATAATACATTTCTGTTTTTAGCAAAACAGTTCTAGTATCTTACAAACAGATTTTGCTAATGAGAAAACATTTGTATGTACAAGTTCTAGTTAGACTTCTTGGTTTTAATTTTTACTTGACTTTGATTTGCAGACATTCTACAGTGTTTTTGTAGTTATTTAGTTTCATAAAAGAAAATGACTGTACAAATGTATCTTATAAAAACAAAGAGGTAATATGATATATATGCAGAATACAGTAATTGCTGAGTCGAATTTAATCAGTATAAATTATGAGTTTCAGAAAGTCAGAGCTCTTCTGCCATCTTGCAAGTGAGATATTTGCACATTTTTAATTGTGAATAAGTTTTCACCAGGCTTTATGTACTTAGGTTCTAACTATATTCTTGTCTTTTTAGGCTGACTTTCATAATCCAAAACTTGAAAGGACAGAATGCAAGGCATAACTTGTAGTACAAAGCAAGTTTATGCTGAAATTCCTACAATCGGACCTACTGATTTCTAGTCTCCTTTGCTTCACAACATAAAAAATAGTTGCTGAGACATAAGCTTCACCAACATTTATCTTTAGCAATCAGATTTGTGTTTACAAAAGACCTAGGAGACAATAACATGCTAACTGAAATAAGTAATTCAAGGTCAAAACAAAAATGTTCTGTTTCATTGACTGGGTGGAGTGTATAAAGGAACTGTTCATCAACTTTAGTATAACTTGCATGACCATAAGACTTCGTTCTTGCTTTTAGCAAGTGGAAGTAGATGGACCTGATTGTAAATAATACAATTTCTGTGATATTAGAAACAGCATGTGACTGTTGTGTTGCAGTTTTTAATAAATGGATGCTGACATGGACTACGAAAGACCCAACGTTGAAACTATAAAATGTGTGGTGGTTGGCGATAATGCAGTGGGGAAGACTCGCTTAATTTGCGCAAGGGCATGCAATGCTACTTTGACACAGTATCAGCTATTGGCAACTCATGTACCAACTGTCTGGGCAATTGATCAGTACCGTGTCTGCCAAGAGGTAAGGATTTTCAAGTTTATTAAATGTGTACTTCATACAGTAAGTTTGTATTTTTATTGATAAGCTATTTAGTGTTCAAGTTGAGGTAATGGGTATTTACAAGGATCCTGTACAGGCAGTCCCCGGGTTACATACAAGATAGGGACTGTAGGTTTGTTCTTAAGTTGAATTTGTATGTAAGTCGGAACTGGTACATATTGTAGGGGAAACTCTAGCCAAACATTTCTCCAGAGCTCAGTTTTATTCTCCCACACCTCACTTCCCTCAGTCCTTTATTCTCAAGCTGAGGTGTCTGCTGAGAAAAGCCGCTCCGCGTCTCCCTGGTCTGCTGGGGGGAAGCAGCTAGTGCGGGGTTACCTCACCCCGTTTGTAAGTAGGGATCCGATGTAAGTCGGATCCATGTAACCCGGGGACTGCCTGTACTGGTCTCTAGCTGAAGAAGGGCCAGGCTGCACTACACTGTGGATTGACCAATTGAAGGGGCTTGAGAAGCCGTACCCCAGGGCTGGCCCACCAGCAGCCTACAGCCCAGTTAAACAGCAGTTTTAATGTCAAGGCAAGGCCATAAACAGTACAGCTGGGACGGGCTCATGCTAGCACGGCACTGCAGCAACGGCCCGCCTACTTCCCCCACCCTACAGAAAATATAGGCAGTTGGGGCGCTTTGCTGGCAGGCAGTCAGGGTGACTTCCGGTGACGTGGAGGTTTCTGGAGTCCAGAGCATTTTTCGAGTCTCAGTGAGCCCTCGTCACTCACTACAGCTGCCCCACCACTGCACAGCCCCCTTCTTCCACTCCCCTCCTCTCATGGGACCACCTCTGCTGCACGGGGTCCTGGTCCACCGGCACAGCCTCCTTCTCCTCCAGGCTGCCTTGGAGCTCCAACAGGAGCTGCGCAGAGCCCGGCTGGAGCACTGCAGGGTGGGGCACATTCAGACTGGGCAAGTGCCAGAACTGGAGCAGGGGCCACCTGTGGTGCTATTAGTGCTGCAGTCTGGGTCCTTGCGGGAGGCCCTGACTCCAGTTGGAGTCCAGCAGCAGCTGCGCAAGGTGCATTCCAGCTTGAGCAGCCTCACTGAAATATGCCTCATGCAGCTGCCGCTTGGCTCCAGCTGGAGCCAGGCAGCCAGCGGGGCAGGACTGCGACACTAAAAACAGCACCATGGGTAATCTCCGCTCCAGTCCTGGCAGCTGAGGCCTGGGCTGTGGGGGCTTCTGGGGCTGGACCACAGGCTCCAGCCCCGAAAACTGCTTTCTGGAAGGTAGAAGGTGAAGGAAGGACAGGAGGAGAACTAAGGGGAAGGGGGTGAGAAGAGGAAGGGTCTTGTGCTAAGGGGAAGGGGCAGGTCAGGAGAAGAAAGGGGCAGGCACCAAGGGGCAAGGTGGAGGAGAGACAAATGCTAGGGTGCCAAGAGGAGACAATGAGGAAAAGGGCAGGAGGGGGGAGGGGAGGAAAGGTGTCAGTGGGGGTAGGAGAAAGGAGGGGACAGGGTGATGCTGGGAGAGAAGAAGGGAGGGACAATGGGGGCAAGAGGGAGGAAGAGGAGAGGGGAGGAGTGGGTGCCCGGAGAAGAGGCATTGAAAGAAGGGGTGGGCATGAGGAAGGCAGGGGATGGAACAAGTCATGTGTGTGAGGGCACATTGGAACATGAGGGGAACTGGGGCAAAGGCTGGTGAGGGGGTGGGCACTCAGAAGAAAGAGGGCAAGAAGGGCAGGGGCAGTGAGGGAATGGTAAGACACCAGGAAGGTGCAGGGGTAAGGAAAGCTTCAGGTGCTAGAGAATTGTGGGGGTGAAGCAGAAGGGCAGACACAGGAAGGGGAAGGGAGGAACAGGCACCAAATGAGAGATGAGAAAGGTAGGGCAGGTGGGTAGAGGGAGATGTTAAGTGAGGGGATGGGGAGGGGTAGCTACAGATGATCAGAGTGGGGCACAGAGGGAAGAGAAGGGCTGGTGCAGGTGAGGGCGGCAGGTTCCAGGAGGGCTGAGAGGATTGAGAAGGGCAAGAGCCAGGACAGAAGAGGAGAGTGACGGGTGGGGGGATCAGGCACCAGGTGAGGAAATGGGGTGAGGGGAGGGGAGGAGACATGGCAGCAGAGGGAAAAGGGAGAGGTTTATATGATATTTATTAATAACTTGGGTGCCATAATGGCACATCCGAACAAGCACACCTGACCTCAATACTGGTGCATAAGACAAAATTCATTCTGCTTATAGGAGGAAAATCTTAGAGGGAACACTTCGCCCCACCTCTCCCCCCTGAGTTAATGCAATGCAAGTTGGGTTAATGCAATTGCAGAATAGTTGCATGGGGGGTCCTGTGGGAGCCAAACCCATCCTATTTGGTAGGAGGACAGTGAGAGGAGTTCTTAGAGGGGTCACATGACATCCTTTACTTCTATTCATGTATCCACCTTGACCCCGGGAGTTCTACCTCCAGGGGTGGGATTTTTTGTGGCAGGGGGCGTGGCCAATAGGAGGTCAGTGGGCATGGCTAACGGGAGGTCAGTGCGCGTGGCTAACAGGAGGCCAGAGTGTGGGGCTAACAGGTCAGGGGGCGTGGGTAGCGTGTCCCTAATTTTGGTTCAGAAAATATGGTCACCATAATAAACAGTTCAGGGGCTCAGGCCTGGCTGCAGGCTGAACAGCAATTAGTAAAGTCAAGCCTTTGTCCAGGGTAGAGCAGCAAACACCCCTATAAACAATTCAGGGGATCAGGCTGAGCAGTAGTTATAAAGCTATACTTTATAACTTGGGGCAACAGCAAGCAGTTTAAGGACTTAGACTTGGCTGCAGGCTTGATAAACAATTTGTACAGTCATGGCCTGGGTCAGGGCTCTGCAGGGCTGAGCAGCAGTATGGAGGCTGGGCCCTTACTCCGGGCAGGGCAACAAACAACAGTTTAAAGCTCAGACTGGGGGTCAGGTCTCCTCACTGGCGGAGAGCCGACAAGCACAGGGGGTTCACCCCAACAAGCAGAAGCCTGCCACCCAGGAGTACGGTAGCAGGGAGGTGGGGGGTATGCAGGCCCACCTGCTGCTTTGTGTTCCAGCCCAGAGCGCTAATAGTGGCAACATAGGCTGTCACTGGGTAAGCGAGGATCCGGGCCGCAACACGCTGATCTGGTCACTAAGTCAGCGGGGATCTGGACCATAACGTGCTGCCCAGTTTACCTCCATGTCCTCAGCTGACCCAGTGTCGGCTATCCCAGGCTGCTTCCTAGTGCCCTCTGGGGGCCTACCTGCCGCAGCCTCTGCTCCTCGAGGTCTGCCAGGAACAATGGCACTAGCAGCACGTCCATGGGCTCCGCATCAGGGTCCAGCAGCGGTCCAGGCAGTGCAGCCCAATCTCCTGAGCCTGGCAGGGGCCCTGAACAGCCAGGCCAGGCTTCTGGGCCTGGCAGCGGTCGGGGCGACCAACCCAGTCTTCCCTCCTAGGGTGGGGCAGACACACCTTCGTTCTCAAGAACACAGGGAGAGTGTCTGGCTTGCTCAGCCTCTGGGCTCCAACTGGGTTCTCAGTCTTTACAGTCCCAGAACTCTCAGGATCACTTTTATAGTCTTGGCCCTGCCTTTCTGCTTCCTGTGGGTGTGGCTAGGTTGCTCTGGCACTGTCCACCAAGGGGTCTTAGGTAGTGGCTCCCCTTTGGGTCATCAGGAAGCCACACTGACTCACTACAGATCCTAAAGTAGTTACCATCTAACCTTCTCTCTAAACTCCACAGTTATATTCTGAAATATTTGTGACAGATATATTTAAAATGTTCATATTGTGCTTATGCATTATACAATTTAACACTATACCAGTTTGATGTAGCATGACATCTTATCTTTTTTACAAGGAGAGTAGCAATTGTATTGTCACGAGGTTTTTAATTAAAGGAAGAAAATATGTCTATTCTGTTTTAGGTCCTTGAACGTTCCCGAGATGTTGTTGATGAAGTGAGCATTTCTCTCAGACTCTGGGATACCTTTGGTGACCACCACAAAGACAGGCGTTTTGCTTATGGAAGGTAAAATGAGCCATGTCTAACTTTTAAATAATAGTTGCAGCAATATTCATCAGAGAGAAAATTGCAACTCTGACTTTTGAAACATAAGGCTTTAAAACAATAAAAGGTATTCATGTTTCTGCCTACTACAACGAAGATATCGATTATAAGGATTAAAAATATACTTATTTAAAAGGCAATACAGTTTTACCATTCTACATTTAATTAAAGTGCTAAGCCTGTAATGTTCCAGACTATTAAGAGTGTTCGCAAAAATGAGGCTGTGGTTTTGTGAAAATGAACACCAGTTATCCTTGTTTGAGTAAACATCATGAAGTATAATTAAATCATTTATTACTGAGCTAACAAATAGATGTGTGAGGGAAACATAATCTCCTGTGTTGTAGATGATGATTATTATTACTTACGTTGCTATAATAAGAAGATGCCCTGCTGAGTTGGGTGGGTCATTCTTAGGACAGCACTGGGGAACCATTTTTTGGTCATGTGCCATTGAACCACAGGAAAATCAGTCAGGGGCCACACGCAAGTAAAAACTCGAGGTGCAGGGCTTGCCCTGTTCCAGCCAGCCAGATCCAGGCCCACAGGTGTAGCCAGTACTCAAGGCTTCTGGTCAGTGGCATGGAATCTTGCTGTGGGTTGGATCAAAATTAAACAGTGCACCAAATCTAGCCCATGAATTGAAGGTTCCCCACACCTGTCTTAGGACCTGATCTAAATACCAGTGCAATAAATGACAGGAGTCTCTTTCCTGTTTTCTTAATTAAACAGAAGAAAAGAGTTCTCTTACATGAAAGTCTACACAAGAGCTCTCATTAATAGAGTAATCTTGTAAATGTTGAGAATTCAGCAGTAGGGTTTTATCTGCAAGTGCAAAATAAGTGATAATTCCTATATTCTAATACAGTCTTTCCATTTAATTCAGAGGAAGTTGGATCTTCCCCTTTATCAATACAAGCAGAGGTGCTGCTGATCAGCAGAAAATTCAGTATGTCATAATGCGAATCAGCTACCTGAAATACTGGCATGTAAAACTAAAATTCTATGATTTTTTATGACATACATACAAGGCCTTATTTTTTGCACAAAAATGTCAGTATTTCTTTTCCTTCAGAAACTTCCTTTTTCTTTTTTCTACTACTATGATGTTTCAGCTGATATTTTTAACAGACCTCTTTTCTCCAGTTAAAAATGGCATGTGTATAGTATCTGTCCCAGTTTTTATACTTCATGTCTCTAAATAGTTCTTACTTTGTGGTTCTATTTTCAATACACTTGAAGTATAGAGTTGTATGAGTAAGTTCCAGATAAAATGACTAACTTTGAAAGGAGTTAGCCTACTCTGTTCTTTGTCTCTCCCTAAAGATCACCATAACAAGGTGGTCTATCAGCTGAATCTAGTACTGAAATCCCTTGAAATGTTCACATTGTAAAGCTCCATGTGTAAGTTCATAGTTTTATATGTGTAAATCCTTCTTTATATCCTGTGCCATCATAAAAGAGTGTGCTATGAATAGCTGTGAGTACAAAGTGCTTTCTATTGCAGAGAAGTTGTATGGAGTGATTTTGAAAGACAGTTAAGTTGCCAGGTCAACAGAGTAGATAAACATGTGTTCACATGCTCTGCTGAATCAGAACCTAAAATACAGCCTGTCTTGATTATATCAGTTTAACATGTATGAAAACATTATTGATTTAAGATAAAGCTGACCTTAATTTCCAAATTCATTCAAATGTTTATAAAGGTTTCAGGTGTAAACAATTTTTATTTTAATATTTAAAGCTTTGTGAAGCCTGACTTCATATATAGTTGTGCTTTGCATTTCCTCTTACTCTTCCTCCCTAAAGTACAGCCCTAAATTTCTGTAGCAGACACTCTGTCACTGAATCTAACCCTGTACACACAAGGGCTGTGTCTACATTGGCATCCCTTTCAGGAAAAGGGATGCTAATGAGACACTTCGGAATTGCAAATCCGCGGGGGATTTAAATATCCCCCGCGGCATTTGCATTTACATGGCTGCCGCTTTTTTCCGGCTCGGGGTTTTTGCCGGAGAAAAGCGCCAGTGTAGACGCGATTTTCCGGAAAATAAGCCCTTTTCCGGAAGATCCCTTATTCCTACTTTCAAGTGGATGCCAATGTAGACACAGCCAAGGGGTCTTGGGTGGGACTAGTTACATGAGTGGAGTGACTTTCACATTTGTTAGCTCAGAAAGAAACTGTTTTAGAAACCTATCAAGCTGGCAGTAGCTTTCCTTCTGTCATTTGTATGTAGTAGCAAAATTGTTGTATGTTAAGGAAACCACTGGGGATCCATAATTAATGGAATTTCATTGGTAAAACTTAATGCAGGTTGGATCTCTATAATCAGGACTTCCCTCATCTGGCAACATCTTTGGTACAGCATCCCCGTAGGTGCACAGCAACTCCTCCTCCAGCCTCCGAGACCTTCTGGAGTGCTGCAAATAGCACATTTGTCGCATTGAAGCTCAAGGAGAGATGGGAAGGAGCAGGATAGGAGGATGCTCAGGGGAAGAGGGAGGACAGCCTCAGAGCCCTGAGGCTGGGGCCAGGAGTACAAGGTCTGGGAGCAGAGCCCAAGGTCCAGCATCAGGGGCTGGCAGAGCATTCCAATAGCCACACAGCGCAGTGCGCTCCCACAGGATTGCGCTCCTGCCTCCAGCGATGGAGCTCTGTAGCCACCCTAACTCTTCTCCCAGAGCCTCCCATGACCAATTCCCACTCAGTTAATGCCGGCCCCTCTGTTGCTGTTGGAGTGGAGGCCTGCAGCCAGCAGCAGCAGAGGGGCCAGTAGTGACCTCCCCTGGTCAGTCCCCGTGAGTGCTGGACCCAGGTAGGTACAACCTGTAATAGCAGGCTTTGGTTCCTCTGTTCAATTCTGTTCTGTTCTAAAATGATTGATATAGTGTTAATATATTTAGCGTATTTCTTTTACCATTTTTTATAACTAGGAGCCTTTATAAATTGCAGACGAGTTTATTGCTTATGTACATGTATTACAGAAATTGTTTTCAAATGATTTTTGGTACTTTGAAGTGTATTCTTATAATTTAAATCAAATCTTGCAAAAGAGTGATGCCACTGCTTCAGGCTAAACCTACAGGTGTCCAGTCTTCTCTGCCTGGATGATTGTTTAATGAGATGTCCCTTCAAATACCCTTCAGAACTGTTGCTTTATGCAAATTAGATCCTGTTATGCTTCTGGTGCATAGAGAGGTCTGTATCTGTCAGCCCAGATCTTTAATTGTCCTAACTGGCAAAACAAGAGATAGCAAGTTCTCAATGTATCTGTTTCTCTTTGGGGGAGATCGCTCCACTAGTTTTTCAGGATCATATATAAATAGGTTGTGTTGTAGGTGACATGATGAACACGTGATAGGATTTGTTTTCGATAAAATTCCTTCCTGCATCCCCATTTTTCATTGAGATGAGTAACAAGATGGAAAAATTAATGCTTTTATTTCTAAAAAATGCAAAGGGGAGTATCAATCCTAGACCTTATTCTGTTTAGTTATATATCAAAATCATACGGGGAATTGGGAGAGGGACAAGAAAACTGATAGAAAGATTAAGAAAAACAAAGACTCGAGAACAAGATTAGGCTGGAAATAGTTCTAGAATGTTCATTTTTTTCACAACTCTGGAAGGGTGGGTGTCCTCTGGAGTGGTTCTATTCTTTCATTTCAAGCAGGTTCCAGTTTAAGGTGATTAATACTCATCAATTCATATTGTCCTGAAGGATTAAATTTTATGCACAATCTGGAGAAGGATGGCAAGGTAAGATGGCATGATCTGAGGTATAATCAGAATTTTTATGTTGAGATGTATGTCACTTTTACATCCAACAATAATGCTTCTGTCTCAGTGTTTTCAGAGATTGCAGCCTAGATGAGAGAAATGGATAAAGCTCAAGCTGCCACCATGTGAATGTGTCCCCAACACATATTCAACTCACGTTATGCAGGCATAACAATAAAGTAATTTATACTACTTTTTATTTGGTACCATTCACAATTCTATAGTATTTTATCTAGTCTAGTTTTGAATAAGAATGTCAAGATCTCCTACTGCTGGGAGTGAAAATTGAAAAAGAATTTGTTTGCCAAATTTATTTGAAAGTGAAAGAGAAATTATTTCCTGCCATTATTTTATGTAAACAACACTAAAGCACATGTGCATATGCACATCTGCAAGGAGTTAATTCCATTTCAGTCAGATATTTATTTTCATAGGAATATGTGGTCTGTAAACTAGTTCAACCATGATAATTTATTTAATGAAACTTAAGTATAAGCTCAACACCAAACAAAATCTGTTCAAACCATATGGTGGGAAATTAGCTTTTCCCACACCACTTATTTATGAACATGTAGATGAGCCATTACAAGGCTGCTGACAGGGTCCTTTTAAACATATGTCGACAATATTGCCTCTTCTGTGACCTGATTTCATCAGTCTTCCAAGTCTGTTACATAGTTAGTCATAGGAGGGCATTCACTCAACTCTTAGGTGATTAAAATTCCCTTTACCACTAAATTCAACATAATTGAATCCATAGAAACATGTCAGTCTGCACCCCTTGGAAGATGAATTCACCACCAATATTTCTCTTACTTCTGCCAATCTCTTTAGCTCTGAGAGACTTTCAATAAAAGAGGAGGTGGTTGCTGTCAAAACCATAATTTTTCACTCCCATGTAGTCAACCAAGGCTCCTGTCATAGAATCAGAGTTGGAAGAGACCTCAGGAAGTCATCAAGTCCAACTCCCTACTAAAAGCAGGACCAAACCTAACTAAATCATCCCAGCCAAGCTTTTGTCAAGCCAGGATTTAAAAATCTCTAGGGATGGAGATTCCATCACCGCCATAAGTAACCCATTCTAGGCTACATCTAGACTGGTGCTTTTTTCCATAAAAAGAAGCTTTTTCCAATCATTTTTTCGGAGGAGGGTTTTCTGAAATTTGGCTCCTTCTACACT